CCGATTTGATGGCCCTGGGTTGTCCGCAGGACAACACATTTTTTTTCTTATTTCGAGCACTGATGAAGATATGTATATTCATTCATCACGGTTAGACTGGCTACTGTTTGTACAGTATTTATACATGAGATTACATAGGAATACATTACAAGGTGCTGTGGTATTTATTGTTATGCTTATGAATCTTAGGGCTGTCAATGGTAATCAAATTATTTCGATTCGATGATTGATATATTTTTTTTCGATATTTCGATCCGATTCGAATTTAATATGTAATAAAACATGATATAGCTTTTGATATTGATACAGAGCGCGTGAAAGTAGCAGTAAAGCTCATACATAACTTATTTGAAGAATATACATGTATTGTATTTCTAGCTTATGATAACTATGAATTTTATACATCGCTGTGGCGTAAATGCAAGCATGGGCGAAGTAATTTTCCTGAATTCAGCCAGATTGACCTGGCGTCGCGGCGATGGCGAAGCAGCAGACTTGCTTTTCCGGTAGACAGATTTTATTATAGAGATCAGTGAGACAGGATAGCACACTAGAGACAATAGAACACCACAGTTATTGATTGTCTCTGTATACTTTATGATTATGATCATTATGCTTACTGTGTATGCAGAACCAAGTGTCTTTGAGTGGCAACATATCCACAACGTTGCGCATGTGTGTTGCCGTGAGAAAGAAAATTACAGCTATTCCTAGCTGAAGAACAGAAACTTCCATGAATTGCAGGTAAAAGGAATGTCTAATTAATTTGCAACGATGATAAATGTTGATGTTATATTGTTTGTTGTATACAAGTAGTTTAAATAAGGTTATGTATCAAAATTTTGTTAGGTAACTCTAGATGCATAAATTCATACTACATGTTTATTATTTAATTTTCAGCATATTTTATTGTAAAAATTGATAAAAACTACAGCCTATAAATCAATCTTACATGTTCCTCTATCTAGTATGTTATTTGTGACCAGTATTCCACAGGTTAGTTTACAGTGTGAGCATTACTGTGTATCTCTGTAGAATTTAATCCATCAAAAAAAGAGAATGGGGAGAATGCTAGTGAATGCCCCCACCACTGTGATATTCAGTAAAGCCACATACTTGTCCATTTCAGCCTGACTTGGGGGTACATGACGTTGCATAAGGCATGGTGTGGTGTGGTGAACTCGCTGTGTGTCGGTTTTTAAAACCGAGTACTCATAAATCAAGGTAGGTGTGGTTTGTAAACTTTGCGGCAAAGGGGGAAAGAAGACTCATTTATCAACACTAAAGGGGGCATGCTAAATTAAAAACCATAGGCAGCATTTGTCACATTTTTCCAACTGCAAAAATACAGATGTTTGGGTGAGTGCTTATAATTATAAGCTTTTAAAAACGATTCTGATATTACATACTGTAAGCCGCTTACAGGGCATTTAATGCGGTGGCCTGCATGTTCATCAATATGCATCGGAGCATATGAAATTTCCTAATTCAGATTTTCTATGCATAGACGGAGACAGGAATATCTGAAGGATCTGTTTCCAGATGGAAAGAAACGAGCGCACTGTACAAAACTAGAGACAAGCGGTTGCATGGAAAGGAATGATATGACGGCATATTTTTAGACTGGAAGGAAATGCCACGCAGAAGTTTGGCTCTCACCTGTCTGAATGGCCGATAGCTCTAGGTACCTATTCTGCATCTGAATAATAACGTTTTTTTAGCTAACATTTTTTGTATTTTTAACCCCCCCCCCCCGGCTCCCACCCCCCCGGCATTTGGCGGCATAGTTTTAGTAATATTCTTATCATGTAAATATGCTTAGGTTGCTCTTTGTGACAAACTCATTGTGTGTTAGCTTTTATCGAATGTGAAATGCTATGTGATGAAACATTTGATTCAGAAATACAATGGGCACGGCGTATTTAGTGGAGTCCTTCGAAGATACGTGAGATCAGAAAACCGTTGAGTCAAGGTCGCGCTCATCCAAGTATTAGAGGCTATCAAAACCTCGGCTATGTCACAACGTGTCATAAGGCGTGAGTAACAAGGCCTACACCTAGTTTATTCGTACACAAACTGTCGGCTAACATAATATATCAAAGCTACGTTTGGCACAAGTGGCACATGTAACCGTTAGGAATAAAATCTCCCTAAGCACTATTTTGTAGCATAACCCTTTGTTACATTTGCTGTGATATTTTGTCTCTGATGTGGAACCAGACTCTTTTATGCTGGCTTTTGCAGCCGATCAATTAGTGATAACGGGGCAGTTGTTGAGTTTCACTGAGCGTAAAATTCTAGCAAGGGCCGAGCATTGAAATGTTGTTACCGAGCATCTAAATTTTGAACATGGCAATCTCATATCTTCCCTGCCATGTCTCCTGAGCTTTTTAGCTCAAGCTGAAACGAAGTCAGATGCAGCTTGTAGAGTCGCATGATTGTCCGTTCGTCCGTGCATCTGTCCGTGCGTCCGTCTGTCAACAGTTGGGCACAAATTTTAACCGCTCGACGTATGGTCCGTTGATATTCGAACGTTCGGGGGATCGCGAAAGGACTCGGTTGTCGTAATTGGGGGGTCCAAAGGGTCAAAGGTCAAGATGTGTCATGTAGTGTGTGATGTACGGTGTGAGCTCTGGTAGTCAACTAAAGGAAGTTAACGAACATTTTGTTTCGGTTCGGTTGCGGTTTTCGGTTTTTGCTCTTCGTTTGGTTCATTCGGCTCGGTTATTTTCAGTAGGAAAAAATTAAAAATTGCTGAGAAAATGGGGAAATTTTCCCTCCATTTTGAATAATAATAAATAATACGCTATATTATAATGTTATAGCATTTATTGTGTTATTCATTGGCCAAGAAGAGGGGGAAGAACGGGCTTGGCATAAAATTTAAAAAGTGCTGAGCTGTTTGGCTCGCCATGTGCACGCCTCGCTAACTGAGAGTGGGTTGAATGTATTTCCCGGAACCGAAACGAAAAAAACCAACCGAACCGAACGGGAAGTACCGCGATACAGTTGAATCGCTGTTAATGTTACACCCTAACGTATAAGCAGCAATGCTACGTGTATTGGCTGAAAGAGGGGAGACGTGTGATCTTGCAGTAAACAGCATCTACGTGTATTGCTAATGTAGTGTGTGATGTACGTGTTGATCTCTGCAGTAACAGCATCTACGTGTATTGGCTAAATGTAGTGTGTGTGATGTGCGTGTGATTCTCTGGCAGTAACAGCATCTATCGTGTATTGCTAATGTAGTGTTGTGTGATGTACGTGTGATCTCTGCAGTAACAGGCATCTACGTATATTGCTAATGTAGTCGTGTGTGATGTACGTGTGATCTGCTGCAAGTAACAAGCATCTGCTGTATTGCTAAATGTAGTGTGTGTGAATGTACGTGTGATCTCTGCAGTAAGCAGCATCTACGTTTAATTGCTAATGCTAGTGTGTGTGATGTACGTGTGATTCTCTGTAGTAAGCAGCATCTACGTTGTATTGCTTAAATGAGTGTGGTGTGATTGTACGTGTGATCTCTGCAGTAACAGGCATCATACGTGTATTCTAATTGTAGTGTGTGTGATGTAGCGTGTGACTCTGCAGTAACAGGCTCTACGTGTATTGCTAATGTAGTGTGTGTGGATGTAGACGTGTGATCTCTGCAGTAACAGCATCTACGTGTATTGCTAATGTAGTGTGTGATGTACGTGTGATCTCTGCAGTAACAGCATCTACGTGTATTGCTAATGTAGTGTGTGATGTACGTGTGATCTCTGTAGTAACAGCATCTACGTGTATTGCTAATGTAGTGTGTGTGATGTACGTGTGATCTCTGCAGTAACAGCATCTACGTGTATTGCTAATGTAGTGTGTGTGATGTACGTGTGATCTCTGCAGTAACAGCATCTACGTGTATTGCTAATGTAGTGTGTGATGTACGTGTGATCTCTGCAGTAACAGCATCTACGTGGCGTCGACGTCGCACGTCTGGTGGCTCGTCCCCGTCCCCGTCAAGGACCAGGTGAAGCAGCTCGTCCAGCAGAAGCAGTTTGAACTCGCCCTGCAGCTCGTGGTGCGTACTGTCGTAAATTACAATTTGAATAATAGTCTATTCAACATACTGTAAAAAAAAAAAATTTTCAATGGGGTTCTAATTTTCGTAGATTTTGTGTGTCCATCAATCCACGAATTTATGTACCCAACGAAATATTTTGTACATATGTCAATTGCCGGTTCCGGAGCGGAGGCCCGCAAACCGACGCCTGCCGTCTGTGCGTACTAGTAATATATACTATCAGCAACCTCAAGTTAAAATGGAAAGAATTAAATCAATCTTCCTGAGTAATATGTTTTATCAATTTATATAAGTATTACCGATGCACGCGTCATTAACGGCAGGTACGAGTTCAGGTTAGTAATCTGTTTGTTGGCATTATTGTTTTTGTAAAAAAAAATTCTTGGAAGGCTTGATCCACAAATTTAAGAACCCACGAACATGTATTTTTTATTGAAACCACGAAAATAAGTGACTTTATAGTATTATGTTGCTATATACACGATATATGCTACCTTATCAGAATATGTAGACCATGTTTAGCGTATGGCGTATGGAGTGGTCTGGTGACGTATTAGCATGTGGTGTGGGGCAGCGATAAGAGAGAGTGAGAGAGCGGTGGCGACGGAACGGAGAGCAGATATGTACGGAATGTCGAGATAGATTGTTGAGTGAATAAATTGTCGAGTGAATAGATGTCGAGTGGATAGATTGTCAAGTATATAGAGTGTAGACTGGATCGTCGTGTATAGAGAACCGGCACAGGCGAGTCTGGCACAAAGGTTGCATTGAGATTTTGTAACACGTACTACAGACTATGTGCCACGGACCGTGCTAACTAGAGACTGCGTTCTGGGGGGATCCAGAGGACGGTGATGACGCAAAAGATGGGCATGTCCAGGCGGTCAGGACTCGCTTGTATTTCCTGACTTTGGAACTAATTTATCCAGTGGATAAGGAATATTTGTTCTACTTAAAATACACCAAAGTATTAAATATTGAAAAATTATCATCAAATTGCGATCTTTTCTCTAAGAAAAAATCTGTAAGAGTCGTTCTCCAAGCCAACCTTTACTCGGCGCTCAGTGTGCAATACTCCCATTCAGAATTGTCTGGATTGTGATTGCAGGAGCTGTCTGATGAGGTGGAAGAGGAGAAGAAGGAGAGGATACATCAGATACAGACGCTGTTCGCCTTCAATCTGTTCTATCAGCATCGATTCAAGGAATCCATGGATCTGTTCATACAGCTGGACACGGGTATGTGTAGGTCCTCTCCATGGTAGTGGTGCGAAGCGTAGTGGTGGTGGTAGTGGTGTGAATGGTAGTGGTGTGAAGCGTAAGATGCTGGGTTCAAAGTCGCAGAACTGTATTTCATCAAGAAAATTAATTGGCAGAAGCAATGCAATTAGTATGGCCTCATGCTAATTAACCTGTCCACCTGAGCAAGATGATGACGTCTTATTGTAAATTGTTGCTAGGTCAATCGTGCTATACCCGTTTATACGTGTATGTCGTCCACATGTGCATGTCAAAATATTGCCTTTGCAGTATTTTGTTATTAAACATATTGCTTAGAAGACCTTATCGCAATGCTGATTGATTTGAACAGCCTCTCGATCATGCCAAGTGGATGGGTAAATTACCATCTAACTGGCTGTTAGGGCCTTTTTACTAGTCTTGATTATTTTCTATTCTGTTTGCAGATCCGTCTCATGTTATCGGCCTCTTCCCAGGCCTGCTACCTCCAGACTTCAGGAGTCAGCTGGAGTATCCTGAAAAGCTTCCTGAAATCGATGAGTACTGGTAATGTTTATATACCTTTCCAAACACATCTATAAGAGGTGATGATACAGATAGGTATGCCTATGAAGATATGTCATATTCATTCATCACGGTTAGACTGGCTACTGTTGTACAGTATTTATACATGAGATTACATAGGAATACATTACAAGGTGCTGTGGTATTTATTGTTATGCTTATGAATCTTAGGGCTGTCAATGGTATCAAATTATTTCGATTCGATGATTGATATATTTTTTTTCGATATTTCGATCCGATTCGATTTAATATGTAATAAAACATGATATAGCTTTTGATATTGATACAGAGCCGTGAAAGTACAGTAAACTCATACATAACTTATTTGAGAATACATGTATTGTATTCTACTTATGATAACTATGAATTTTATACATCGCTGTGCGTAAATGCAACATGGGCGAAGTATATTTTCCTGAATTCAGCCAGATTGACCTGGCGTCGCGGCGATGGCGAAGCAGCAGACTTGCTTTTCCGGTAGACAGATTTTATTATAGAGATCAGTGAGACAGGATACGCACCAGAGACAATAGAACACCACAGTTATTGATTGTCTCTGTATACTTATGATTATGATCATTATGCTTACTGTGTATGCAGAACCAAGTGTCTTTGAGTGGCAACATATCCACAACGTTGCGCATGTGTGTTGCCGTGAGAAGAAAATTACAGCTATTCTACTGGAAGAACAGAAACTTCCATGAATTGCAGGTAAAAGGAATGTCTAATTAATTTGCAACGATGATAAATGTTGATGTTATATTGTTTGTTGTATACAGTAGTTTAATAAGGTTATGTATCAAAATTTTGTTAGGTAACTCTAGATGCATAAATTCATACTACATGTTTATTATTTAATTTTCAGCATATTTTATTGTAAAATTGATAAAAACTACAGCCTATAAATCAATCTTACATGTTCCTCTATCTAGTATGTTATTTGTGACCAGTATTCCACAAGGTTAGTTTACAGTGTGAGCATTATCTGTGTATCTCTGTAGAATTTAATCCCATCAAAAAAGAGAATGGGGGAGAATGCTAGTGATGCCACTGTGATATTCAGTAAGCCACATACTTTGTCATTTCAGCCTGACTTGGGGGTACCTGACGTTGCAAAGTGCATGGTGTGGTGTGGTGACTCGCTGTGTGTCGGTTTTAAAACCGAGTACTTCATAATCAAGGTAGGTGTGGTTTTAACTTTGCAAAGGGGGAAAAGAAACTAATTTATCAACAACTAGGGGCATCTAAATTAAAAACCATAGCAGCATTTGTCACATTTCCAACTGCAAAAATACAGATGTTTGGTTGAGTGGCTTATAATATAAGCTTTTAAAAACGATTCTGATATTTTACATAGCTGTAAGCCCTTACAGGGGGATTTAATGGCGGTGGCACTGCATGTTCTCAATATGCATGGAGCATATGAAATTTCTAATCAGATTTTCTATTCCATAGACGGAGACAGGAAATCTGAAGGATCTGTTTCCGATGGGAAAGAACGAGCCACGTGTGACAAAACTAGAGGACAAGCGGTTGGCATTGGGAAAGGATGATATGACCATATTTTTAGACTGGGAAGGAAATGCCACGCAGAAGTTTGCTCTCACCTGGTCTGATATGCCGATAGCTCTAGGTACCTATTCTCATCTGAATAATAACGTTTTTTACTACTTTTTTTTGTATTTTTTAACGCTTTTGCATAGTTTTAGTAATATTCTTACATGTAAAATCATGCTTAGGTTGCTCTTTGTGACAAACTCAATTTGTGTGTTTAGCTTTTATCGAATGTGAAATCTAGTGTGATGAAACATTTGATTTCAGAATACAATGCACCGTATTTAGTGGGAGTCCTTCCGAGATACGTGGAGATCAGAACCGTTGAGTCAAGGTCCCTCATCCAAAGTATAGAGCTATCAAAACCCCGCTATGTCACAACGTGTCATAAGGCGTGAGTAACAAGCCTACACCTAGTTTATTCTGTACCACAAACTGTCCTAACATAATATATCAAGCTACGTTTGCACAAGTGCACATGTAACCGTTAGGAATAAAAATCTCCCTAAGCACTATTTTGTAGCATAACCCTTGTTACATTTCTGTGATATTTTGTCTCTGATGTGGACCAGACTCTTTCATGCTGGCTTTTGCACCGATCATTAGTGATAACGCAGTTGTTGAGTTATCACTGAGCGTAAAATTCTAGCAAGCCGAGCATTGAATGTTGTTACCGAGGCATCTAAATTTTGAACATGCAATCTCCATATCCTCCCTCCCATGTCTCTCTGACTTTTTTTAGCTCAGCTGACGAAGTCAGATGCAGCTTGTAGAGTCGCATGATTGTCCGTTCGTCCGTGCATCTGTCCGTGCGTCCGTCTGTCAACAGTTGGGCACAAATTTTAACCGCTCGACGTACGGTCTTGATATTCGGAACGTCGGGGGGGATCGCGAAAAGGACTCGGGTTGTCGAATTTGGGGGTCAAGGGTCAAAGGTCAAGATGTGTCAATGTAGTGTGTGATGTACGTGTGATCTCTGTAGTAACTAGGAGTGTAACGATACATTTTGTTTCGGTTCGGTTCGGTTTTCGGTTTTTGCTCTTCGGTTTGGTTCATTCGGCTCGGTTATTTTCAGTAGGAAAAAATTAAAAATGCTGAGAAGATGGGGAAATTTTCCCTCCATTTTGAATAATAATAATAATACCTAATATTATAATGTTATACATTTATTGTGTTATTCATTGGCCAAAAGAAGAGGGACGGGGCTTGGCGTAAGTGCTGAGCTGTTTGCTCGCCATGTGCACCCTCCTAACTGAGAGTGGGTTGAATGTATTTCCCGGAACCGAAACGAAAAAAACCAACCGAAAACCGAACCGAACGGGAAGTACCGCGATACAGTTGAATCGCTGTTAATTGTTACACCCCTAGTAGTAACAGCATTGCTAATGTAGTGTGTGATGTACGTGTGATCTCTGTAGTAACAGCATCTACGTGTATGCTAATGTAAGTGTGTGTGATGTACGTGTGATCTCTGCAGTACACAGCATCTACGTGTATTGCTAATGTGTAGGTGTGTGTGATGTAACGTGTGATCTCTGCAGTAACAGCATCTACGTGTATTGCTAATGTGTGTGTGTGTGTGCATGGTTACGTGTGCATCTCTGGCCAGTAACAGCATCTACGTGGGCGTCGACGTCGCACGTCTGTGTGCTCGTCCCGTCCCGTCAAGGACCAGGTGAAGCAGCTCGTCCAGCAGAAGCAGTTTGAACTCGCCCTGCAGCTCGTGGTGCGTACTGTCGTAAATTCACAATTTGAATATATCTATTCAACAGTACTGTAAAAATCTTTTTCTGGGTCTAATTTTCGTGGATTTTTGTGTGTCCATACAATCCACGAATTTATGTACCGCCACGAAATAATATTCTGTCGTTATGTCAATTGCCGGTTCCGGAGTGGAGGCCCGCAATCGACGCCTGCCGTCTGTGCATACTAGTAATATATGCTATCAACAATCTCAACATTATGCTCGGTGTATAATGTACACATTGTAAACAATGTTCAGTGTGCGATTCATACTACAGCGTTATTTTAATTGTTTTTTTTTAAGTTAAAATGGAAAGAATTAAATCAATCTTCCTGAGTAATATGTTTTATCAATTTATATAAGTATTACCGATGCACGCGTTATTAACGGCAGGTAGTACGAGTTCAGGTTAGTAATCTGTTTTGTTGGCATTATTGTTTTTGTAAAAAAAATTCTTGGAAGGCTTGATCACGAATTTTAAGAACCCACGAACATTGTATTTTTTATTGTAAACCACGAAAATAAGTGACTTTATAGTATTATGCTTGCTATATCACATATATATGCTACCTTATCAGAATATGTAGACCATGTTTAGCGTATGGCGTATGGAGTGGTCTGGTGACGTATTAGCATGTGTGTGGGCAGCGATAAGAGAAGTAGAGAGAGAGCCGTTGCGACGGAACGGAGAGCAGATATGTACGGAATGTCGAGATAGCATTGTTGAGTGAATAAATTGTCGAGTGAATAGATGTCGAGTGGATAGATTGTCAAGTATATAGAGTGTAGACTGGATCGTCGTGTATAGACGAACGGCACAGGCGAGTCTGGCACAAAGGTTAGCATGAGATTTTCGTAACACGTACTACAGACGATGTGCCAGCGGACCGTTGCTAACTAGAGACTGCGTTCTGGGGGGATCCAGAGCACGTGATGACACAAAAGATGGGCAATGTCCAGGCGGTCAGGACTCGCTTGTTATTTCCTGACTTTGGAACTAATTTATCCTGTGGATAAGGAATATTTGTCTTACTTAAAATACACCAAAGTATTAAATATTGAAAATTATCATCAAATTGCGATCTTTTCTCTAAGAAAAATCGTAAGAGTCTTTCTCCAAGCCAACCTCTACTCGTCGCTTAGTGTGCAATACTCCCATTAGAATTGTCTGGATTGTGATTGCAGGGAGTGTCTGATTGAGGTGGAAGAGGAGAAGAAGGAGAGGATACATCAGATACAGACGCTGTTCGCCTTCAATTCTGTTCTATCAGCATCGATTCAAGGAATCCATGGATCTGTTCATACAGCTGGACACGGTATGTGTAGGTCCTCTCCTAATGATGGTAAGTGGTGTGAAGCGTAAGATACTGGGTTGCAAGTTGCGAACTGTATTTCATTTACATCAAGAAAATTAATTGTCGCAGAAGCATGCAATTAGTATGGCCTCATGCTAATTAACCTGTCCACCTGAGCAGATGATGACGTCTTATTGTAAATTGTTGCTAGGTCAATCGTGCTATACCCGTTTATACGTGTATGTCCACATGTGCATGTCAAAATATCGCCTTTGCAGTATTTTGTTATTAAACATATTATTTAGAAGACCCTTATCGCAATGCTGATTGATTGAACTGCCTCTCGATTATGCCAAGTGGATGGGTAAATTACCATCTAATGGCTGTTAGGGCTTTTTATAGCAGGGTTTTCATTATCTTTATAGTAACAGGCCGAAATGCTTTTGCAACAGGCAAAGTGGGGAGTGCGGGCGGTGGGTTTGGCGTACCCCCCCCAACATTTTTTTTACTAGATGCTCTGAGATGAAAATCTGGTGTATTCTGAGTTGCAGTAACAGACACATTTGGATTACAGTACTGGTCCTTTTTTTGCCAATTTGGTTTCTCCTGGTACATTCAGAGTTCACCAAGTTTTCCAAATTATGACGATTTAGCTAATTATAAGAGTTAGACAATTAAGTACGTAAATGCATTACTCAAAAACAAAACAATGGCTCCTTGTGCACATAAACATGCATACAAATATACTCAACTGATTTATTAGTAGTAGCTCATAAACACTTTCACTTTGGAGAATAATTAGAGCAAACTAAATTATTTTTTAAATTTTTTAAAATAATACTTGAGGCCAATTGTAACGCGCGCCAAAACAGCAGAGTAGACGGTCAATCGGCCGGTGGCGCGTTCCTAATGAGAACACTGTACTAGTCTTGATTATTTTCATATC